TAAACAATTTCACTGCTAAGTTTTTAAGATGAGTGGAAAAGGATAAATTTGAGTCATGTTTGAGATTGTAAGATTTAATTAGTGTGGAGGGTTTAATGTTAATAATTTCTTTTATTCCTTTCTATGTAATTTTAATATTGTTGAGGTTTAAAGAAGGAGATGTAGTATGACTTTTTGAAAATTCTTAATAATTTGTTTATTTTATTCATGTACAGTTTAAATTTATTGAATAGTAGACTTTTTGTGTTAGGATTTATAGATTTTATATACTTTTTGTAGAGCTTACTTTTAATTATAATTGACTTCAGAATTCTATTAGTGATTCAAGGTTTAGATTCAAGTTTAACCTGGTTTTTGGTCAGTTTTTTGTATGGGATATGGCGATCAAGAAATGTTTTTAAAAAGAAGTTCATAGATTTATTGACATCTCACCATTTTTAATTTGAAACTTTCAGTCAATATTAGAAATATCCTGAATAAATTCACTTTCATTGAAATTCTTAAGCAATTGTTTAGTTGTCAAGAATTTTTTTCTTTTGAAAAGAGTACTACAAATGCAAATAAACTGTGCCATGTGATCTGAAATTGATATTGCTAAGTTGCCAGAAATAAGATAAGGAATTTGAAAATTTAAAAAGATGTTATAAATAAATTTTTTATATTTATAGTTATTTTATATTTATAGTTATGTTGGTTAAATTATTTTTGAGAAAAAAGAGTAAGAACATAGTAAGTCAAGGTATCATGTTGGGTCAAGGTGTCATGTTGGGTCAGGGATAATAAGGGAGTCATTGTAGTTTAGTAACTCCATATTAAGGTCACCCATTAGCATAACCTGTTTATTTTCAGAACTAAGTTTTTCAAATAAAGGATTAAAATGATCAGAAATAAATTCCTATGGGTTCATTGAAGGATGCCATTATATACAGCCAAAGATGATATTTTTCTTAAAGGATCGATGATTGCAATAAAGATAGATTTTAGGTATTTTGGGGCATATGCTATAAAATCTCTTCTAACATTGTTTAGATTGGATTGTAAGTATAGAGGAGCACCTCCTTGTTTAGCTTCAGTAGAGCATTGTTGGATGTTATAGGCATTTATACTTATTTCCGTTATATTGGGATCAGTAATGTACAATTTAGATTCCGATATTCCAAATACTGATGGAAGAATGGGAAGTGAACTTATGAGACTTGTAAAAATCATCGATATGAAAGTGCAAAAAACCAATGTTTAGATATAGCTACAATTCAGAATTTGATTTTTAAGTTTTATTAAGATTAAGAGTATCATAATATTTGCAGTTAGTTGCATTATTTATATCTTTAATTAAGTTTTTGAATTGTATTGGACTTTCTAACGAATTTAAGTTATTAGTTAGTAGAGTCTGACATGATATAATTTAAGAAAAGTCCAAAAGTGTGCTAAATGACATATTCTTAATTATGCAGTTACTACGGTGGCAGTCAGAAAAGTCTTTGACAAGAAGGTTATACAAAAAATTTGTTGATTAAGTTGCATTTAGCATGAACCCAAGAAGAAGAAGAACAATCACATAAAATGCCTCTGATGATTGGCCGAACTTTATTGCAGAACTTATAATGGTTCTTAATTGCCATGTAAAAATAAAAGTTAAAAACAAAACAATAATATATATAATAAACAGTATTAAAAATTTTAAATAAATAATTTAATGACAAATAGTATAATAGCAGATAGTATAATACCAGATAGTATAATACCAGATAGTATAATAAATATATAACAATAAAAGATACAACAACTACAAGAAAACATCGAACAAAAAATATTAACTATATTAACGAAAAATAATAATATAATACAAGAAAAATAGTAATATAATAAAAGATTTTGTAAGGTTTGTTTTTATCTGTTTTTATATGTTTTTTTATGTCATTCAGTTATGCAGATTTAACAAATCAATTAAACAAATTTTAAAATTTTTTAATTAGTTGCTGAATTGTTGAGAGAAAATTTGTAGGCGAACCAACATTTTTAGTTTCAAATCGAATCTCAAATTAAAGCAGGTCCTGATTTATGGATTCGAATCACGAATCGAATCAGCAATATGAGGAAATCCAAGTTTAAGCATCTTTTTTCCTTCTTTTTTTTCTTTTGTTTCTTTTTATTTGTTAACTTTTTTCTGTCTTTTTTTTTTTGTCTTATGTAAGAGTTTGTTTTTTTTAGTTCGAAAGTCTGGTTTCTTTTTGTTAATTTTTTCTTTTGATTTATTTGTTTGTTTTGAATTTAAAAAATGATAATGATAACAAATATTATAATCATTTTTTATAATTATTCTTTCAATCTTTATAATCATTCTTTCATTTGGTGGAATTTTGTTCCTGAGCAAATTAGTAATTATACTTCAAAGAAATGTTGAAAGTTTTTAATGCAAAACTTGGTGTCACATTGAAAAAGTTATATATTATTGACAAAATTTTATTTTGATACCCTAATATACAAATTAGATAGCTCCACCTTTTAAAAAAAAATTGACTTATTAATGGTATTTTATTATCTGCATTTTTATACATGTGCTAAGTAAATTAGTCTAACAATAAAAGTTTTTACTCTGTTTTATAAAATGAAACATGAAAATCTGAAATTTCTATATTATAAACTTGATTTTATGTGACAATTCATATTAAAGTTTAATTGTCTGAAAAT